TTAATATGTCATATAATCACGGATAGCAAGGCGTCATTTTTACGTTAAAATAACAATTAATAATGTCAGCATTGTTAGCTATATGGACCTCAATACAAGGATAGGTCGTAACTGAAAACGCCAGTTATAGTCGTAGATCAACGCACAATATTTTGGGATTGTGCACTGATTCAACTATGTGCACTGAAACAACTACGGTTTCACGATTTAGATACGGCCGTTATTGTGTTGAGTTGAGATCCATATAGCTAGCAATGCTGACGTTATTCGTCATCCTTTTAACATCAAAATGACAAAGGCCATCAGCTTGCTGCCTGTGCTAAGACCCTATATAATACTGCTTGAAAACATCCCAATATAACATCAAAATGATGTTTCCGCGATGACGTAGTCTATGACGGTCATTAAAATGTCATTGGTTCAACAGACTCAATAATTATTACATATTGCAACCGTTATATGATTCTGTGCGCTGATTGAATCATACTTTTGGATTTAAAAAAATAATCCTATCTCAGTAGAGAATCATAAAAAAGTTGCAAAACTGTTGAGTCTGTTAAACGCAGCCAATAAGACGTTATTTAGTGACGTCATCTATGGTTCAGTAAATGACCAAAATTTGATGTCAAAATGATGTGTGTTTGCTACTGGGAAGAACATAGATTAAGCGTGTATGAAATTGTATACTTTATTCTTGAGAAAAATTTCAACAGACAAATGTTTCAACCCTTTCGATTGGGCCTTCTTTAGTATAAAAATAAAATCGGTGACATATAAATTTAATATAAAAGATGCAATGCTAATTTTTAAGATGAGTTCCGTTTAGCACCAATTTGTCAAGGAAGAATTAAATTTGCTGTTCTCGAATTTTTTGCTGCAAAAGTTTATCCAAATCATTGGAAAGTTAAAGAACGCGAGAGTGGCAATGCGCCGAGCTGAGAAGCTCGAGCGACTCACACGTATCTGATTTCGTGCGTTAAAATTTGCTAAATTTATATTTTCTCAGCAATAAATTGACGTAGAAACATGATTTTTTAAAATCTGGGATAGCTCGATGAGATATAAACAAATAGCGTAACTAAAGTAACTGTAACCATGAAATTTTTAGTTTTCCTTTTCTTGAATTTTTATTTTTTCGGTTTATTACTAAAAAATTGTTTGAGTATGAAGTGCATATCTCATTAACAAATTTAAGTCACATAAACTATGTTTCTTTATATTTAATATGCTGCACTGGATTTCATCGAACTTCACCAGACTTCATTAAACTTCATCAGACTTCAAGGAATTCCTCGGACTTTGTCAGATTTTATCGGATTTCTGACATCGGATACTAGATACACCGGAATTCAACAGTTATCCCCATTCACATGTACGGATTGCCGGATTTACCTAATAGATAAAATTTATCAAAAGATGGAACAATAGTCCTTTAGATACTTTATTGCAACGAATTTATTATACGAAAATTGATACGAACATGCAAATACCTGTCATCATGCGTAAGATATTAGTAAGATAGTATAAGGTAAGGCCTAGGCACACAATATTTACAAAATATTTATAAATATACTAATAAGATTTATTTTAAATATTTTTGTAAATATTTTTGTGGTCTTGGATTGCACAGATCATGTACATTTATTATAAATATTATAGTAAATGCTACGAAAATACTTAACGAGACATTATATCTTTATGAAAAAGAACTACTGCTGACTACACAGAACTATTATTGATAATCGCATAGCAATATTACAAGATATCACAGAAAATATTACAGGAAATGTTACAAATCACATATATTACTGGGGATTACAAAGCAATATCAATGATTATTTCAAATCACTGCCACAATAATACTACAAATTATTGCCTACTCAGTAGTGCCAGTAATACATGCGCATTTATTGCTGTGTTTCGCAGACTCAATAGTTGAGTGAATGCTCACTGTTATTTATGTACTTTTCTAAATCATCCAAACAAACTTTTAGATTTAGAAAAATACGTAGCAGTGAGCGCTCACTCAACTGTTGAGTCTACTGAATACATTTTAATATGAAAAATTTGTGAAATTTTATATGTCAAATAGAATTAATAATACTTCAGTAATTATTTCCAGCACTTCTCTTTTAAATTTGTTGAAAACGGTTACTGAAATATTAATATACAGCTTTATATCAACAATCACTACAAGTATTTCAAAAAGCCTCTTAATATATACAATGTACAATAAATAAATAAATATTTACATATAATTTTAATACATATAATGTCATTTTAATATATGTACATTTATATATGGTACACTGCACAACACAAATAAAAAATAAATATGTATGTACAATAATAATAATTAAATATACACAGATTGACATAGATTGAGTAATATTGAGTGTTTTCCAATTGCAATATCCCTTAATCAGACATTTTCATGCACACGACGTGTGCATGAATACAAGTTGCGTTCCAATTGTTATCGTCGACACAATACTACACATCTGTACTCAGTCGAGGGCTCTATAAGTATATTGTGTTTTTTAGTAACAATTATATGTTACTAACTGGGGCGGTTATAAATGAGATTGGAAGACGTTGAGTGACCGGCACTTTTATTTTTTTTTTATTTAATACAGGCAGAAAAAGCTACATTTAATCTAATTCTATCCGAAACGGATCTCAACCATACACAGCGTACACATTCTGTTCTAACTGAATCGTCAATTGGAATCACAATGATACACTTTGTGCATTCTTGCATACGTTTGTATTAAGATGTGTTAAGCAATTGAAAAGCATCCATTAATCACTTTTACTTTTGTCATAAAATATGTCATTTTAATGTACATTCGCGCCATTTCATATACAAACTATTTAACAGTCGTATCAAAGCATCACACTACAAATTCTACAGATTTTTATTGCTTCTAAAGGACTGTAATACGCTACTGTCTTCACTAGATTAGGAATATTCCAAGAGGACATTATCTAGGCTGTAACTTCTAGGCCCCGAGAGCGGCTAGAATATGTTATTCTTTTTTGTTCGGGGCGGCGAAGTCTCCTAAAAGGATCTTAAACCTGTCTGTATTACTAAATCATATAATTTTTGTATAACAAATACTTTTTCTCTTTCACAGATTCGAAAATCCTTTTCCAGAATTAACGCATTAGTATGATTTGTGAAATGGAGTTTATGCCAAGAATGACCAAAAATTTCGAAATTGATATATATTTTACCATTTTTTAGGCCCGATTGCACCAATGTTACTTTGACTTTAAGCAAAGCTTAAAACTATCTGTCTCTATTTCTCTTTTACTGTAAAACGAGACAGAGGGAGTTTTAAGCCTTGCTTAAAATCAAAATAATCGTTGATGTAACCGGGCCTTAGTGTAATATGGCGCTTCAAGTCAAATCGTGACAATATTTGCTTGATACGAAAGTTTTCCAACCTCTATTTACGAAATAATAATCCACAAAAGAACTATATTGTTGCACGAACAAATAACGTCAAGTTCTTAGAATTAAACTTAAACGTTTTATCGCAACGAATTTGTTATACAAAAATTAACACGAACGTACGACTGCGTATATCACATAGATTGTAAAATATTGGTGTGGTAGTATATAAAGAAATGTCGATAAATAGAAAAACAGTGACCTCTGGTGATTTCATCAAAGTTCGAGCTTCGTTTTAAGGAATGCTGGAGCCAATAGAACTATTCCATATTCAGTAGTAGTGACATCTTTTTATTCATTTCTTATATCTATTATATCATTGTGTCTCTCTCAAACGCATTCTGTCCTAATCTAACATATTGCAACGCCATCTCTTAGAAGATCGAACACCTACTGTTAGACATAATTGCTTTGTTTACCATCACGAATCTTCGTTCAGCGTTCATATACACGTCATTCGCAGATCAATGTAAATCTTTCTTTTGGAGCTTTTTAATCTTAATTTCATAAACTCAATATTGTTTATGCATGTCATGCACTGAGTGGTGCACTATCGTGTAGTCCATACGAGCTATAAAATTTTTGTATTAAGAAATCGATATCAAGTGATAGCTTTATAAGTTAAAAAAATGTAAGTTTTTTCCGATTTTAGTATGAAATTTGCAATATTCCCAAATTTTGTGTCTACTTTAATCCTATAAAAAAAATTTTTATTTCGTTTAATAAATTCGGAGATTTACATCGATCTGCGAAATACAATTTGGCCACTCCAGCATTTTCTTAAAAGGGAATCTTAAATCGAAGACCGAACTTGATCAAAATCAATCCTGCAGACTTTTTTAATTTAAAATTCGATAATATTGACATTTTTTATTTAATTCTTACGTTATATATTGTTCTGTCTCACTCAATGCATCTGTCCTTATGTAACATATTCCAGCGCCATCGCAAAACCGCGCAACTACTATATGAAATTTCAGCTCTATTGACATTCCTAGACTTCACAAAGCATTCGTATACACGTATTTTCCATTTGATGAAAATACTTTTCTTCCAGACTTTCAATCTTAGTTCTACAAATTCGGTATCGTTCCAGTAATGTAATAAAGGACCTCAGCTATACGCTTATTTTCAAGATATGGACTATAATTCGAAGATTTTTCACTGAATGGAAATGATGATAAAATAGGACGACTTTAGCATCCCCTTAAGGGAGTCCTAAAATCATCTGTATTACAATTAAACGCAATAATTTTTGTATAACAATTATACTTCTTTTCTTGTTTATAAATTTAAAAATCATTTTTCAGGATTACGCATTAATACGTGTCTATGAGATGGAGTTTATATCGAAAGTGAAAAAAAATTGTTTAAATTGAGATCTTCTTTACCCTTCTCAATCCAATAGCGTTAAAACTGTCAGTAACGTAACAATATTTGCTTGATATAAAAGCTTTGCAATTTGTACTTATGAAATTACCTAAAATTTATTATTCTTTAGATTATTCTTTAGAATTTACATAATGAATTCATAATTTGTTATTCATATTTCTTCGGGAAAGAACTCCTTATAATTAGATTGAGTTATATCATTAAATAATTGAATGAATATTTCGGAAAATTTCTTTTCAAATACGGGTATAATCTTATCAATAATTATTTGTTTATTATTGTTTACGATATTATTAATAATTTCATGTAATTGAACTAATTTTATTTCGTTTTCATCGAATTTATAATCAAAATCTTTAAAGTCAATATTCGTATTTGCTTTTAATGCGTATATATGTTTCTTGCTATTTTTAGTTATCACATTCAAGTCCAAACTTTCTTGGAGTTTTATATTATCTGCAAAAAAATCACATATTTTAATAATTTTAATAAAACGGAATTTTTATTTTTTTATGCTAAATTTCATTAAACATTATTTTATTATATATTAATATAAAATCAATTATTTTACATACTCGTTAGAATTTGACATTTCCCTTTGTGAACGATTGGTACTAGCAGATGTACTTCCAAAACATACGACGAAGTCGAATTCATGTTATATACAATATCAAAATTGAACTGAAGCTTGTCGAGATCTGTGTGAACGGAGTTTATAACAAAATCGCAAAATGTATAACATTTTACGTTTTCAAGATACAATTTGATATTAGGTTCGTCGAAAATAACTATTTTGTCAATAATGAATGGCTCAAGTTGTGGAAATTTAAATTCCGGAGATCTTTTGCAAATTTCATCTCTTACATTATTAACGTTATCCATGATGCACTGATTGTAGTTGGAATTGTTGCGACCACACACATGAATGTAGGGCACTGTTAAATTATTTTCTTTAATTTAAAACTTTAAATTAAATTATCTCAGATAAAATTAATTGAGAAGTGCGAATAATTCGAATTCGAATTGAGAATTAAATAGGATTTGATTTGATCCGTTTTTGAATCTGAGAGATTCGAAATAAAATGAATTCAATCAAATGAATTCGAAATTTCAAATCATCATTGATTCAAATTCGCCTATTTTGTTCATTTTAATGTAAATTGGGAAAATTTTGATTCAATTCGATTTGTTTTCGAACATATTATCCAAAAATTAGATTCGATTCGATTCATCTTAATAAAAGATTCGCATATCTCTTTAGTTTAATGTAATTAACTAAATACTTTATTAAGAACGGTGTTAAAAAATGTCTATTTCCGCAGTCAAAATACATCTGACTAGATTTTGGAAAATCATTGTTCGGCTTCTCAGAAAACAACCGTTTATCCGGAAAATGATGGAAACATTGGAAACATTAGAATTGCTTAAATATAATAAAAAAATTTTCAGACAGGTACTTAAATTATTATTCAAATCATCCGATCTCTTAAAAAAGAGGTTGTCTACTAAAAAAAAGTTGTCTACTAAACTTATAAGTTTAGTAGACAAAGCAATATTATTATCGACGAATATCACATAAAAAAATTTAAAACTCCAACATTTTATTTGAAAACGAAATTATTCACTAAAATTTATATTAGACATTAACTTTCGAAGTCTTGTACAACGAGAGACAGAAGCACAAAGATCTTTTCTAACATTGACAATTCTAATAACCGTATTTTATAATTCCACAGTCCCATTCATTTCTTCAATCACAGAAAAATTCAAATTATTTAATAGCACTGACACCAAAATTTCTTTTTATAGTTCCAACAAATTATAGAAATTCATAAAAGTCTAAAAAGATACTCTTCCCCACACATTTAAGAGAAATATACCATAGTCTATAAAATTACGTGTAAAGACTGCGATGCATCATACGTCAGATAGACAAATAGACAATTAAAAACTAAAATTACAGAACATCTTAATCACATTTAGGAACACGTCTATTTCTGTGATAACACCCAATTTATATCCGGGAATTCTATACTTTCATACTGGCCATACTGTATTACTGAGACATCCAAAGTAAAGGTTTGTCAAACTTACGCCCATTTAAGATATAATTAGAATAATTTAATTTAAGTTTTTCTAGTCACGGTCCGAGCAGGCTTAGTTTGGATTCCACTTTTTCTCCAAGCTAGTTATACTTGCCCATATAAAGCTCAATTTGATCTCAAATTTTCTCTGATAATAGTTTAATTTATAGGATATCCTATAACTATGCTTTAAAAGGGCTTGAATGCCAATATTGTAAGAAATTTAGAGAAAATAGACACAATTAGAGAAGCTATCAGTATCAAGGCTAGCTCAGTGGCAGGACGGAAGTCTACCAATATGCAAGAGATCAGACTTCAGTTCGAATCCTGGAACGCTCTGATATTTTTCTCGCTTATTTCTTACAATATTAGCATTCATTGTTTCTTACAATATTAAATATGAAGTGCTTGGAATAAATTTCCTCATGGATGTATCAGACCTACTTACAGTTATATGCCCAGGTTAAAATTTTGCTCTTGGCTCAATTTTGAATTGTCACGCTTCTTTATCTAGGCTCCACATTGGCCCTCAAACCTGGTCCAAGACTAATGCGAAGGGCATCCTAACTTGAGCCTCAAATAATGTAAGGAAAGTTAACTTGGCCCCGATTACAGCCTAGAAAGAATTTCCTCACAGGCAGATTGCATTTAAGATATAAATTCGATTAGGAGAATATTAAAATTTTAGATGAAGAATCTTGTTACAAAAAATGATTAATCTCAGAAATAATCAATATTAAAAAACAGAAAAACAATATAAACTTACAAACAGAAGGTTTTCATAAAATTTATATACCAATCATAAACAAAATACTTTGCAATGCCAGATTTATATTTTAATATAAATACGTTTTCTTGTAGTCAGTAATAGAATATCGTGACAACACTATAATTTATATTCTCGTGTGATTTTTCAAATATCTACATATAACTTAACAATGTAAAGCATAGATTTTTGTACACATGACTACAATTCATACTAATATTTATGTAACATTGACGAGCATCGAATTTATGTGAAGGATTGGCCATTTTGGTAAGTTCAAATGATATTACTTGCATGTCATTTAATTTCAATCTCATTTTAATAATTAAAACACTTGGAAATAATTCTACAACATCCGATCTTCTAACCGAGTGTGAGCAATTTCGTCCTGTCTAATTGTTGGTTATTGATACGGTGACCATATGTCCTTTATTGTAAAGGACAATCCTTTATTTTAGGTAGCTGTTCATTAAATTTATTTGTTTCTTCAAAACTCAATTTTATCCTTTATTTTCCAATATTCTTCTTTATTGTCATTTATTTGACATTAGAGAAATTCTTTTCTGAGTTTTTTTTCTAACTAGCGTTCTAATATTTAATATTATATTAATGAGCAAATTTTTACGGAAAATATTTTACAGTTTCATGCATATAAATACAATTTCTTTTTTGTTAATTTTTTTATATGTCTTAATTTTTTAAATTAAATTTATTCAAACTACAGTTATTTTCATTTTTTATTATTTCGAGTCTTTTATTATTTTAGATCAAAGGTTTGTTCCAATACAGTCGAACCAGTTTCGAACTATCAGAAATCTATGCATTATTTCAATTTGATTATACAATAAAATTTTATAATGCTCAAATTCTTGATAGTAGACAAACTGGTTTGAAAACAGCAGCAAAGCCCTAACTTTTTCAAATTTGCTCTTTATTTTCTTTAAAAAAATATGATCATCGTAATTGTTGGCCTCATTTTATTTTTGTTTGTTTTTTGCAATAAAATTTTAACATCTAACAATATTGTTACTGCGCATATTTTAAATTTGGGATGCACATAAAACTATCGGATATTCGAAAAGAATGTAACATGTATCGATATTCGTTCGAATATCCGAGAAGATAATTTTTCGAGTCAGATATCCGATATTTTCCGGATATTCAATCGGGACAATATAAAAAAAAAAGCGAAAAGGATCAATAGAGATAATAATTGTAGAGAAAAAAAATTATAATTTTGCAGCAATATATAAGATATTATATAATAGCATTTTGAGTATACATACTTATTTATAGAACATTTATAGTATACCTAATAAAAAATTAACAATTTGATGACATAAAATTTCAACTGGATATGTTCTCGGATACCAATAATATCCGACTATCCGATCGGATAATAAAAAAGTGCCTGATAATGCCAGATACTGAATACTTTTCAGATATTTGGTGTATCCCTATCTTAAATATCTAAAAATAACACAATCATGATATCGAAACATACAGAGTGTTTGGAAAATAATGATAAATCTTTGCATAGAGGCAGAACTGAGAAAAAAAGTTCTTTACCATTTTACAATTTTCGCAATAGAATTAACGAGTTATTAACTTATGAAAATAACCAAATTTGCCCAATCTATCGCCAAATGCAAGCGTGCGACAGGATAGAACTTTCAGCGGTAAGGCGCTTGCCGTCGCTACGCACATTGTTTATAAGTGACAATTGCCGCTAGACATTGCCTAGTGACAGCGAACCACGCTAGGCCGTTCTATCCTATCGCATAATTGCATTTGGTGGGCTGGGCGAATTTGGCTATTTTCATAAGTTAATAATTCGTTAACTATTGCGAAAATTGTAAAATTATATAGGATTTTTTTCTCAGTTTGGTCCATTCTGCCTCTATGTGAAAGATTTATCATTATTTTCCAAAAACTGTATATGTAATATGTATATTGTAATATTTATAATTGACAATTTAAGTATATAATTACATGGTCATATTTTCATATATAAATTTTAGAATTTAATTCTTATATGTTTTTTGCTTTTTAACATTATTTAATACTAAGAATCCTTTATTTTTATTTTTATTTATGTAAAAAATGACATTCACATATATGATTAATAAGTGAAAATGATTTTATTCAAAAACGTAAGTATAATACATTCTTTACATAAAGATGACAGACTACTTTAGCATTATTCAGAATGCACCACATGGAGGTACAATTCTTCTTAGTTTTTCTTAATAGAGAATAGGATTGCACATTGTTTTTCCTGTAATATTTAGAGACTTCAAACTTTCTCTGGCTTTTTTCGGTTTATTAATCAATAAATATACAAAATCAATAAATATACAAAATATTTTATAGAATTTGAGCGTCTAAAATACAATTGAGCTTTAAAAAGTACACTATTTTGAGGTTCTACTGATATTGAATACTTCACATAATCAATGTACAGATTTTTTGCAACAAATTCAAAATCATTTGATGCTTTAATGTAATCAAGAGTGAAACAATTGTTGCAAATGTGTGTGAATGTAAGATAGTGATGAATATTCAATCATCTCTCTTGCGAATTTGCAATCAATTTAATCATTCCTTTATTTTGAAACATTTAGAATATTATTCAAAGCTATATATTCTTGAAAATTTTGATAGATCTTAAAAGTCTTGAAAATTTTGATAGATCTTTATAGATCTTAAAAAAGTTTTGATAATTCTCGATTTTTTCGATTAAAAAAATCGAGAATTATAGAAATATTTTCGAGAATTGATTAATGAAATTGTTTGAATTAAAGAAATATGAATGCTATATGATTAAAGAAAAGTTTCTTTGAATGTCATTCTTGAAATCAAATTAATATTTCTTTGGTTTGAACCTCATTTCTTGAAATCAAGATTTTCCGTTATTGTCAGATTCTAATAAAAACGCATATGAAACGTAAATTCATTCACACTTCATCTGTATTATGCGCACGCACGCACGCACGCACACACACACACACACACACACACACACACACACACACACACACGCACGCACGCACGCACGCACGCACGCACACACACACGCACACGC